TTTAAATTATAATCTCCAGCGTTAGCCCCTTTCATTTGGCTGTAAATAGCTGTGGCTAACCTTTCAAGAGGGAGATTTAGAAAACTGGGGAAATCCATCGGTTCTCCCCAAGAAAACCATGGACTTCCCCAGCCATAAGAAGAAATCAATATCCTATATCCCACTTACAAGAAAGCAAGGTAACATTTTTACACCTTTGTTCCCCATAAAGCCATTTCATCAGCAAGTCAGTCCCTGCTGCACAAATCCAAGCTTGTTCTGACAGCGCCTTCTTCTCCTGCTGCCCTAGATGCTCTTGGTTGGCAGCTCATGGTCCTGAGGTGCAGCTCCCTTCAGTAGGGGTCACAGCCTCCTCCCTTCCCTGACTCCACAACCCGCTGACCTCTAAGCCCTTTTCAGAATCTGCCAAATGGTTTACAGGGGTGCTGCCTCACCAGCCTTGCTCATGCCTTGTTGAATCTCTGTGAACCTCTTCTATATTCTGGGTCAGAGTGAGCAACCCACTGCACTTCCAAACAACTGATTTTAGTAGACCTCTGCATTTTAAGGCCAGCCAGTCTTGTTAAATCTCTCTGTAAACATAAACCCCAAACAGATCCTTTTAAAAGCCTTTGTAATTCATGCTTTCCATCTGCCCGTCAGACCTCACCAAAAGATTTACTCTGTTGCTGGTTTATTTCCATTTCCTTCTTCCCTCCAAGCATCTGCCCTGCTGTCACAACCCCACACACATCTGCGCAGATCCTACCCATCACATATGCCAACTTCAACAGTCAGCTACTTTCTAAAGACACACACAGCAGATTTGCAGCTATCGAGGGACAGTGAGAGTCTAGATGACAGTTTTCTGGGAATTTCTACATCATTTTCTGCAACTAATCAAGATGCGTCCTCCCCAGTCATTTCTCATCCATTCTTGTATTGAGAAATAATAATAATCACCATAGAGAACCCTTAACATAATTCTTACTAGCTTTACAGTACATTGACAAAGTCCAAAACAGCAGTTATGAAAGAAAGGAGGGAACATAAGACAGGAAAAACACCTCCAAACTGACTTGCTGACAAACAGGAGCTCTCAATCACGTTAAGACGGAGCAAGCCTCCAATTTTGCCATGGTTAGAAATGCTCGGCAGAGAACCCACTGTGGTCGGGGCTGTTAGTAATGCCTTCCTGTCTCTAAGCATTTCCATCCCTCCCATTTACTTGCTTCCACATGAGCTCTCTGTGAGTCACTGTAAAAACACCCATCACCATTACACTGGTAACCTCTTGCTCAGCCTGCCCTGTGAGCACACATGTAGCTGAATCTCCCGTTCTGCCATTATAACTGAAATTAAGAACTCCTAAATTTCCTTGAAAAAGAAAATACTGCACAGAGCGTCTTCCTCCTCTCGCTTAGCACTGCGTGCAATCAAATTCTGAAGGCTCCTCCAGGCAGGGCTCTTTCTGGCAGCCTCACCCTTGCCTTTCCCAGCCCCCCACCCCCACCCGCTAAACTGAGCTCTCCCTTAGCTCTTATAAACCCAACTCCCTGCTGGCGCTGAGCTGCCATTCTGCTCTCGGACTCGCCTCGCGGTTACTGCTCGACACAGGAGTTGTGCAAAGAAAGCTTTGCCTTTCGTTACTTTCTACTTTCTACCTTTCTCCTCCTTCCACCAGCACAGCAACTCCCCCACGCTGTTCCACCTCCCTCCGCTAAACCTCTCGCACCTTCCCTGGGGCGGACCTGCACTCTTCCCCGCCCCGCACTCATCCCGGCCTGGTCCCAGCGCTGACATCGCCCTCAGTAATTCCCAACAAATCCCGAGGCTTCGAGGAGCGGGCAGAGCCGCGGCGGGATCGGCCGCGGTTGTCGGTACGGGCTGCTCCTGCCTGTAAGCGTCGTGTGCCGCGCCTAGCCGTGCGGTGCCATGCAGAGCCATGCAGTGCCAACGTAGTGCCGAGCCGTGCTGTGCCATGCGGTGTCACGCAGTACCATACAGAGCCGTGCAGTGCAGTGCCACGCAGTGCCCATGTAGTGCCGTGCCGAGCCGAGCCGAATTGTGCCATGCAGGGCAGTGCCCTGACATGCAGTGCTGAGCCATGCAGCGCCGAGCTGTGCCTTCAGTTCAGTGCCCGGCAGCACGTTTGGCCCTCAGGCCAAGAGAGTTCCTTCAGTTTGGCTTTCCTACTTACGCAGAAATGCAGGGAGCTGGTTGATGGGACAGCTTTTAGATGAAAACGACTGCCAGCATTCATTTTCTCTTTTTCTCTCTCTTTCTTTTTTTTTTTTTTTTTTTTTTTTTCCCTGAATGAGAAGCTCGTTCAATGTATAAATTTACTTTGAGTTTTGTGTCTCTTTTCTTCTAACTCAGACCCAGCAGTGAGTTTTCGTTCTTCCTCTATTAGAAAGGTGCATAGGAGGGGGTAGGAAGGATACTGGGAAAGAACAGTAACGAGAAAAGAATGTTTTTTGCAAAAAAAAAAAAAAAAAGAGCTGGCATTTCTGGTGGAACCCAGATGAAATGAGGTGGACATCGCAATGGTCCTTCATGTGTCTTCATGGACACTAAAAGCGGCAGCGAGCCGCGGAACGGCCGCCGGGCTCCAGCAGCGCCGCTGCCGTCCGGGATGCACGGAGCCCCGGGGCCGCCCTCGGGCCGCGGAGCTGCTCCTCCTCGGGGTCCTCACCTGCTGTTCACATGGAGACATAGGAAATGCTTTCGGGTCGTCGTTGTTCTGGCACGGGGGTGATTGCTGCAGTTGCTATGGGGATGTTATGGCAGCACGGGTGGTGTACTCTACTTAAGGACAGGCAGAGGTGTCCCTTCTCCCGGGGAACGTGACGAGTCGGTGTGCGGCACGGGTCCGAGCTACGTGCTCCCACCTCGGGAGCAGCCCGGGACAGGGACGCACCGCTGGGGGAAACGAAGGGGACGCGTCCCGCGGAGGTAGCGGGGTGAGGGGACGGGGAGAGCCGCTCCCAGCCCAGCTGGGCGCTGCGCAGAGCCTCGGACGGAGCGCCGGGCAGAGCCGGAGGGAAGCGATCCCCGGCCCTCTTTACCCCTGCGTGGGGACGCGGCTTTGGCGTAGGGTGGGACAGGAACGGCCCCAGTGGCTCGGAGCTGCTGCGGGCGGCCTGCCGCGAACGGGCACCGAGCGGTTCATTTTAGGTGAAGGAATGTCATTTCGCTACTAAATGGTTAGTCTAATTTGATCTTTATTATGCTGTGGATTAGGGCTGATTCATATTAAACACTGCAGCAGTTCATGTAACTGCGGAACGTGTCTCGCTGTATGTACAGCCGCCTCCGTCCCTGAGACCGCCGGATTAAGATTTAATTAACAGCGAAGTTTACGAGCAGCCGCCGGCTCACAAATAATTGATAGGCGATTCCGCGGATTTTTATTCAAGTGACGGCATTTTATTTCACTCTGAAAGAGCGCTGAGTAGTTGATGGGTGCCAGAGGCTTCCTTATGCGGATCTCCAAACTCAAGGTTGTGGGATTTTTGCGATGCCCACAGGGAATGACACCCATAGGGACTCACCCCCTCCTCCTCCTCCCCCCGTATAAGAATTAATGGTTGTGATCCCCAGTTGCCGGCTCTACGAACCCGAGCCCAAGGCACGGCAGTTCTGGTAACGCCCCACTCTGCCACCGCCACGGCCCTTTCTGAGAGCCGGGTTAAACCACCACCCCCCAGCAGGGCTCGAACGTGGCTCTTTGCGGCCCGTTCATGGCGCTGAGCAAGGAAACTCATCCTACACTAAGTCAGCCGACCGACACCAAAAAAAAAGCAAAGTTTATTCAGATGCTCAAAGTCCATCTTTTTTTTTCTTTCTTTCTTTCCTTCTTTCTTTCTTTCCTTCTTTCTTTCCAGTCTAACTTAACCCCGGTGCTTTATAGCCAAACAGACAACTCCTTTTCCAATTAAAGTGGAATTAGGAAACTCAATCAAATTAGCTCACTATTAAAGCCCTTCTTTATTAAACCGTTTTATTGTAGTGATATTAAGTTTCCCCCGCCCTTGGAACACGACACTCCGCAAAGTTTCCCTCTCGATATTGATTTGGCCGCTCCGAGACGGACCGGGGTCAGCAGTGTTTACCGAGGAGCGATCCGCACTATTGGCTGCTCGGAGGAACGCGAGCACCGCGCCCAGCGCACGGGGCCGGCCGGGTTCCTTCCCTTCGCCCCCCCCCTGCCCCCCCCCGCGATCACCCCGGGGCTCTCCGCAATAAGCGGGGCCGCCCCTGCGCCCCTCCGTGTCATCGCGCAGCGGTAATTGCGGAGCTCTTGCGAAGGGAGAGTGCCAACAGCGCGGCCGGGACGGGGCTTCCGCACTGATCGACTTGGGGAGCTTTGACAGCCTGAATTCCGCCGGCTCCGAACTCCTCCTGCGGGAGGGATCGTTGTCACGGGCCCGGCGCTCCCTGCCGTGTGGGGCAGGAGAGTCCTGGAGAGCAACCCGCACGCTATTGCAAGAAAAAATAAAATATTGTTAATAAATAATAGAAAACAAATCACGCACAGCCGGGGGCTGGAGGAGTGCTGCAAATCCACACGTCTGTTGTAACGGCACTTCCGCAATGTCAGATTGTCTGAAAATGACAAAAAAAATGAAAGTAGAATATCGGCAAAATAGTTTAGGTATTCGGGGAAATGTCCCGGCTGAATGTGCACTGCCGGTTTTATTTCTGCGGGTGTGAATAAGAGCAGAACTGGAAACAAACGCCTTTGACAATGCCAGGTGATAGGAAGTCACTCCCACCTGCACGTTGAGCTTTTATTTGTACATTTTCCGACAGCTTTCTGCTTTAACGATGAAAAACGTAATTAAACGCGTTTGTATAAATGTCAAATTCCTTTAAATACTGCGCTCGCCACATGCATTCCCCAAAGCACACCCTCACCGTCTGACAAAGCACTTCCACTTATACCTTTGATTTTTTAATAGAAAATAACATTTATTTCTATGAAATGGAAACACAGAGTTACCTGTTAGAACAGCAAGAATCGCTACAGCGGAACAAGAAAGCAATGTCCTTGAGATCACATATGGAGGAGGCAATCACCCACCGGCCCCTACGGGCAGCCACCACCGCTCCGTGTGCACACGGCTCCGGGGCAGGATGGAGGGTGGTGCGGCGGCGTATTTTGGTCCGGAGACAGATTTCGCCTCTACGCCGGGAAGCGTTACGACGTGCTGCCTAACCCTTAGCTTAACGTTAATACCGAGTTCACCTACGAGTTACATTAATAACTTAGATTTCCATTTTATAACATTATACACTTGCTAGTATACATATATATACGTACGTGCGGGGGGAGCGGGCGCCCACACCGCAGATATCCGTGCCTATGGCCATAAGCACGCAGCGGGACCCACGCCCCGACGCTCCCGCGCACACCTCGCGCCTCGCTATTGCTTCTCGGGGTTGTTGTTGACCATGGGCCCGTAGAGCCCCCCGGAGTACACCTGCTCCTTGTGCACGGCGGAGCGCTCCCGCATGAGGTCGCTGAAGGCGTAGTCCACGGGCGGGCGGAAGCCGAGCGCGGGCACGAGGCCGGCGGTGGAGTACGGGGCCATGAAAGCGAGGCCGCGGCCGTGCGCCGAGTAGGCGAGGCGCAGCGGGTTGAGTCCCAGCGGCGCGCCCAGCGGATAGGCACCGGCTTCGGCCCCGAAGTGCGTGGCGTTGGGCTGCAGCGGGGAGAAGGCGGAGCGGCTGCCCAGCGCGCCGATGGCGGGGGCCATGGCGCCGGCGATCAGCGGGCGGTGGTGGGCGGTGGGAGCGGGCGGGAGACCCTGCAGAGCGCCGTCCCGAGCCCAGCTCTCCTCGGGGCCCTTCTCCGGGCCGCGGTTGTTGAGGATCTGCTCGATGGCCTGCACCACGTCCCCGCCGCAGCCCTGCAGCACCAGCTCCAGCACGCCGCGCCTGTGCGCCGGGAAGACGCGCGTCAGGATGTCGATGGGAGTCCGCTGCCGGCCGCCGGCCGAGGGCGACGGGTCCCGCTCGTCCTTGTCTGCCTCCGAGCCCGAGTCCGAGCCCAGCGGGCTGATGGAGCCCGGGCTCTCCTCGCCCTCCTTCGGCCCTTTGGAGACGGGCGAGCTGAGGAAGGACTCTCCGTCGCCGTTCTCCGAGCCCGAGCCGTGGCGGCCGTCCGGGGAAGAAGTGCCGGGCGCGGACTCCCCGTCGGGGGACGGCGGCTTCCCGCCCGCCTGCTGCGGGGTTGCGGCGCGGCCGGGCAGCAGCGTCTTGGGGAACAGCTCGAACTTCTGCACCTTCGGCTCTGCGGGGCGCGGGGGGAGAAGGGAGGGAGAGAGCGCGTCAGCGCGGCCGCCCGGGGGACGGAGCCCGGCCCGCAGCCCCCCGGCCCGCGGCCCCGTCCCCCCGCGGCGCGGCCTCACCTGAGGCGCCGGCGCCTCCCTCGCCGCCGGCCCCGGCGCAGACGGAGCCGAAGACCTCGTAGGCAGGCCGGGGAGGGATGATGCCGTTGGCGGCCGCCAGGGCCAAGCCCTCGGCGGTGCCGTAGAGCAGCTGCAGCTCGCGGGCCTCGTTCTCCTCCTGCGCCTGCTGCCGGCGCAGCGCCACCTGGGCGGCCATGACGCGCTGCCGCTCGGCGATCAGCGTGCACTTGGCGCACATGCAGTCCTTCCAGCGGCAGTACCGCTTGTGGCCCTTCAGCGCCGACACCACTCCGTGGTTGCGGCACCGCGCGCACTTCGGTGTCCGCGGGTACTTCTCGGCCGCCCGCAGCAGCAGCGGCGGGGCCCGCAGCAGGCTCCCGGCCACGCTCACCGGCAGGGTCGCCGCCGCCGCGGCCGCCGCGGCCGCCACTGAACTGGGGGGCACCGGGGGGGGCGCGGCGGGGACGCTGGGCAGCTCCGAACGCAGCTCCATCCCGGCACCCGCCGGCCGCGGCTCCCGCCGCGCGCCCGCCCGATACGGCCTCGGCGCGCCGACACCGGCCGCTCAGCGCTGCCCCCCGCTCACCCAGCGGGGCGGCCCCGAGCGCATCCCGCCGCGGTCCCGCCCGGCTCCCCGCTCCCCGCTTTAGCTGCGGACACCCTCACGGCACGGCGGCACCTCCAACGACGCGATCTCGCCGACTAAAATCCAGCAGGAATTTAAAAAATGGTAAAAAAGAAAAAACAACAAAAACGCCCCACGAGCCGCCGCACCATGCCAGGCTCGGACCGCAGCCCCGGCCCGTCTCAGGCAGAGGAAGGCGGAGCCGGGACCCCCTTCCCGGGTCGGGTCGGGCCGGGCCGGGCCGGCTCCGCTCTGTTCGGCCCCGCTCAGGACGCGTTCGCACCGCTCGGCGCGTGCGGCCCTGACGGCCGGATCTAGCGGGAGAGCGGGAGACCGCGTTCGCCGCCGCGCCGCCACTCGCGCTATTGTTGCGCCCCGCGTTGCCATTAGGCAACATTTGACAACAATGTGGCGCCTGCTATTGGCCAGGGGCGGGAGGCGCCGCTCTGATTGGCCGCCCGACGGGCCCGCCGCGTCCGCCCGGCAGCTGCCAGAGCGCGCCTCGCCCGCGGAGAGTCGGGAGGGTCCGGGGGGAGCGCGGAGCGGGCGTGGGTGTGAGTGAGTGCGTGCGTGCGTGCGTGAGTGTAAAGTGTGCTCGATCGCTGCTACCTGAGTTCGATTTTTTTTCCCCTTTAATCCGGTTGAAAATGTAATCGCCTCGCCTACTGCTTGGGCTTCTTACATTTTTTTCCGAGTGTCGCTTGTCATAAGGGTGGGGGGGAAATAAGTGACAAGTCAGGCCGAGGTCTCCCTTCCACCTGGAGATCCTGTTCTGTAATAGAATCTAACGACAGCTCTCTCCGTCGATAGGGTATCTACCGACGCCCTTCTTTCTGTCTCACTTTCTCTCTCTTTTCTCCCTTTTGCTCTTTCTCTATTTCTCCCTTCTCTCTCTCCCTTTCGTTCTTTCGTTCTGTTTCTCTCTCCCCTTCATCCCGACCCCCCGCCCCGCAGCTGGATGCCGCAGCGCCCGCAGACCCGCAGTGCCGCATCCCTCACTGCCCCGCCGTCCCCATGCCGTTCCGCGGGGCCCGGTGCCGAGCTCGGGCTGGGAGCGGTGCGCCTTTACCATTAACCACCATTAACAACCCCTAACCACCATTAACCACCATAAATCACCATGAACCACTCCACTTTGACGTCACCCTCGCCGCTCGGGGGGGGGGGGGGGTAACAGCACGGGAGGTTCGGCTGGTAACGTCGGCTCCCGCTGCCTGAGGGCTCGCACCACCGCTTCCCACGGGACACCTTCGGGCTCCGCGGCATTTTTTTGCCCCTCGTTCCCAGCTCCGCAGCTCCCTCCCTAGAATGGGATCTGGCTGGGAGCTGCTCTGAGCCGCCCGGGGCCGCGCTGCCCACACGGAGCGGGCACGAGCGAAGCGCCTGGCCTCGCCTTGCCTTACTTGCTCTGCTTTGCTCTGCTTTGCTTAGCTTGCCTTACCGTGCCCTGCTTCTCTTCGCATCCCTTTCCCTTGTTTTCCCCCGCACCTTACCCCGCTGCCTCCGGCCCGCAGCCGCGCACTTTCCGCGGAGAGCTGCGGAGGGCCGCTGCTTGGATAGCAGCGCTCGGTGCCGCTCCGCTGCCCCTTCCCTTCTGTCACAGCCCGTGCTTACGAGAAGTACCTCTGCAAAGCAGCGCATCCCTCCAACTTTTGATATTTTTATTACACTTTCATCGTCTCTTGCTGTTTTTTTTATTTCTCTTTACGAAATGAGCACTTTCCCACTGACTTTCCGTGTGTGCAGCTGCCGCCCGCACCCGTGATGTGGGTGTTATAACACCTTTATTTAACACAGCCGTGAAAATACCCCATGTAATTTTATTTGCAAACACTATTTTACCCTCTTGGGAAAATTTCTCCGCTCAACCGATTTCAGTGGGATTTCGTAGAACTCCATCAGGCAGATGAGGAACATTTAAAATATTGACTTGCGTCGGCTCGGTGCGGAGAGAGCAGGAAAAAGTCCCCTCTTTCTCCCGGCACTTTGCTGTAGTTTTGCTCTTATTTTCCCGCAGATCCCGTTCCCCCCCGCTCTGCCGCAGCAGTCGGTGGCACCGGACGCGGTCCGTTCTCTTCCCACTTCTCTTTTCTTTCAGCTTCGCTATGAGCGAAAGAGCTGAGGTTTTCGTGCCGTTCACGGCGGTTATAAGTGATCTATTTTGGAAATAGCCACGGGGGAAAAAATAAGAAATAAAAGAAAGTCACGAAGCTGCTCAGCCGCGATTGCTGCTGGAGCCTCACTCTAAGGTCAGATTGCAAACGGCGATGGGCTTTCAGCTTCGCGAGCACTGCGCGGCTCCTCCATCCCGGCAGCGCACCGCTCGGGGGCTGATGCACGCGGCGGTGCCGGTGTGAGATCGGCACGGCGGAACGCAGCGCTCTGCGCTCGGACACCGCTGCGTCCTCCTCGCCTCCGTCCCAGGGCAGCCCTGCAGACACTCCCATCCCCAACGTTTCCCCGGGCGCGGGTTGGTTTGTGTTTGTTTGTTTGCTTTCAAATATTGCTCTTAGTACGAATGAAACACCGAAATACTCAACTGTTGTTTAGAAAAAATATGTATATTCATCGCAGGAATATAGACCGCAGTCCTGGGACTCAGCAACGCCGCAGACGTCTGTCAGAGCTGCCCGGCTCCACCATGACATTTTAACGGGTTCCCACGCCCTGCTCTCTCCGCAGCCCCAGGAAGGCTCCCGGCGGCAGGGCTGCCCCTTACCGGCCCTGCCTGCTTCCCGTCCCAGCGCGGCCCCAGACGACTCCCGAATCCCGCTGCCGCTTCCTTCCAGCCCCGGCCGCCCAAAGCGACGTTTCCAAACGGGTTTCAATTATTCTCGCCGCTTTCGTACAAAGTGTCCCGAAAAAACACGAGCCCGGACCCTGACTGTCACTTTTTAGCGGTATTTTAACAGTAACCATTCCTTCCAACGCCTCGGGAGCTCTCACAATCCCCAGACCTGTGAAGCAGGACGAGCGGAGCGCACCTTTGGTTTTATTCGCACAAAACCCGCGTTGGCTGCGGGTCAGCCCGGACACAAAGCCGCGCTTTGAGGCGGTCGGGATTCCCTCAGCCGCGTCCCGGCCCGCAGCGCCGCGTGCGCGTGCGGAAGGGGCCGCTACCCCGCATCCCCTGACGAGGCACGGGGCGACGTCCGCGCACCCCTGGGGTCTGTCTCGAACCGCGGCCCTGAAGCCCACAGCGCGGTTCGGCAGCGGCCCATTCGCGGGACGGCCGGAGGACGAGCGGTCCCGGCAGCGGCTGCGGAGCCGCGTGTGCCCTTCGTGATCCGCTGTGCCGCGTCTGGCAGCCTCCATAACAGCGCTGCACAGCCTGACAGCTCGACACAACTCAACATGAGCTTTTTCATTCTTTTCTTTCTTTTCTTTCCTTTTTTTTTTTTTTTTTTTTTTTTTTTTTTTTTTTTTTTTTGTTTGTTTGTTTCTTTCCTCAGTCGGTAATTTAGTACATGTTTTCTGTTTTCCCGCTGTTTATTCCTCTCCTCGCTCCCGCTCGGTTTCCCCACAAACCCTCCCCGTGCACCGCAGCTCCGTGTAAAACTTGGAGAGGGCCGCACGCAGCGGTGCGGTCGCATCTTCCCCCAATTACAGCCGTAAAATCTTAATTAAAAAGAGCGCGGCCATTGGCTGCCGGGCCGGGAAGACAGACACGCACGGCCGGAAGCAGCCCAGAGAAATATAGTTCTCGATTCATGTATTTTCATCTCGTTCTTAGCGGAAGACGGTTTGTAAGTACCCGCTAATGTTGGTGCTCTCGAAGGTTTCAATTGTTCTAGGGGGTTTGCCATTGACTTTTTCATTATTTACCTACTGAATCAAAGTAAGCAAATGCCATCTGTTTCCCTGCTGCTATCATCTTCACTTTTAATTATCCGCCCAGCAGCCTAATAGAGATGATATTAAACTAAATCTTTTTGACATTAAAAGTAATTATCCCCAAACCAATATTACACGGATGGAAATTACCCTCCCCCAGCAGGAAGGACGCGCATTCCTCCCGGCCCCGCCGAGTCCCGGTCCCGGGCGGGGCGCTTCGGAGGGGGTCCCGTCGGCCCGGACTTCTCCTCTATCCGAAACATTATTAACTCCATTTCCCCGCTCCCAGTGGGGGAGGAAAAAGAGACGAGGGAGGGAGACTCGTGGAAGGGAATAAGCTGTAAATCGGGGCTCCACGTCTCCCCGCTCGGGCTGCTGACCCCAGCACGGAGCTTTCGGGCTTTACCAACACCCCTCCCTGCCCTTGCAGCCCGGAGGGAGCCGCTTCCGTCTCCCGACGGCGCAATTGGGGTCGGGGTGCTGCTGCCCAGGGCCGGTGTTACGGAACCGGGAGCGGCCCGCGCTCGGCAGTCCGAACACCGCCGCTTCCACGCGAACTGCGCCATTTCGCCTCCACTTGGCTTTAGCACGAGCCGGAGCCGTGTCCCCCATTTCCTTTAATATGTGCTAAACTGAGCTAATTTTAATTGCAAGTTTCAACTTTGCTAATTAAATAGAGTGGTCTAATTAAAAGTGACTAGGGAACAGTTTTAATTCAACCCTCTACTTAAAAAAAAAAAAAAAAAAAAAAAAAAACACACAATCCATTATGCAACAAATCCAGGGTAAGCCCTCCCTTTAAAAAAGCTACAGCCGATGGAGTTTTTACACCTTTTCACGCGCTGACAATGGGCAGACCTGACCCAACATATGTAGCGGCGGGGCAGACCCCGGCTCCCGGCGGGGCACTGCGCGGGGGCCGCTGGCTGCCGCCGCCCGCCCGAGCGCCGAGGCCGGGGCTGCGGGGCCGACCCGGCGGCGGAGGTTGGAGCGGCGGAGCCCCGAGACGGCAGGCCGGGATTTGGGAAAATCGG